CACTTGATTTTCATAGTGGCATACTCTTCAAATTCTCTTCCTGCTTCACACCCCTCTTGTTCAGTCTCCTTAGCTGGCTCCTTTTCTGTTCAACCTCTAAATGTTGTTACGTCTCTGTCCCAGGATTCAGTCCTGCGGCTTCCCCTTTTATCCATGAGTACACTCTCTTCCTATATTTCATCTAATCCTGTGACTCCAAAAACTACCTGATGCTTCCATTTCCCAAATTTACCTCTGTAGATGAAATAAGGAGTGTAACCAGTGTGCACCTCTTATGCATCAGTATAGGATGGTAGGATGGGGAAATTATGCCTTCTGTTTCTTTGCCAACCTTTGGCCTTTGTGAGTTTTCCTAAGATAGCATACTAGTTAACCCATGCTATGTCATATTGAGGAATTCTTGTCAAACTCTGATGTCAACTGGTAGTGACCTGATCTTCCCTGAGCATGTAGACTTTCCAAGTGTCCTAATGCCATATGCTTAAAAAATTTTTTTTGCCCTTCATTGAATTTACTCGGCATCTTTGTCGAAATCAATTGGCCATTCGAATTTAACCTGTGAACTCACACCACATGCAAAGATTCCCTCAAAATGGATCATAGACCTAAATGTAAAGGCTAAAACTATACAGCTCTTGGAAGAAACCATAGGTGAAATCTTTACAATCTTAGGTTGGACAAAAACGTGAGTGACAAAAGGAAAAAAATTTTAATGGGATTTTAATAAAATGAAAAATGTTCATAGAACATTACTAAGAAAATGAAAGGATAAGCCACAGACTGGATGAAATATTTTCAAATCATTTATCTGTGAAATTTAAGAAAAAGAAATTTTGTTTGCGATAGAGCGGGTAGGCCAGCGGGGGAGCTCCTACACCCTACCACTCATTGTCAATTGCAGACCCAACAGGAAGAGATGCACCTTGCAGGTAGATATGACTTTACTACCCCAAAGGCTTTCTTCCTTCCACACCAACAGCCCAGCTAATGAGAGACTGTCACAACTCAGCCAATGAAAATTTACTCTCCTTCAAAATGGCAGTTCATTCCAATGGACTTTTTGTTTATAACAGCCATCCCAACTTCCCCTTTTCCTCTATAAAAAAGCGTTCCTATTCTTTATTCTGTGCCCTTGCCTGTGGCTCTGTCACAGCTTGCCTGTCCAGGATTCCAATTCTCTACTGTTCCTGAATAAGCCCATTTTTGCTGGTTAAAAAAAAAAAGAACAAAAACAAACAAACAAAACTGTCAGTTTTATTTTTTAGGTTAACTTATCTATTAAAGAACTTGTATCCAGAATATGAAATACTCCTACAATTCACCAATAAGGAGATAAATAACCCAATTTAAAATGAGCAAAAGATTTTAATAGATATTTCACCCAGAAGGTATAGAAATGTCCAATACGCATGTGAAAAGATGACCAGTATCATTAGTCATTAGGGAAAGCAAATCAAAAGTATTATGAGACACCACTTCTTACCCACTAAGATGGCTATAATAAAAAATGTGCACAATAACAATTGGAGATATAAAGGAACAATGTGGAAAAAAAAAACATTCACTCAATACCGTCAGGAAGTGCAGCCATTTTGAAAAACAGTTTGGCACCTTCTTAAGTTAAAGATAAATTTACATATGTCTCAGTAATTTCACTCCTAACACTCAACAGAAATGAAAACATAGGTCTACACAAACCCTTTATGTTCATACCTGCTTTTTCTGTAATAGCCCAAAAAGTGGGAAAACTCTAATTATCCATCAACTGGTTAATTAATAAACAAAATGTGGTATATCTATACAGTGGAATCGTATTCAGCACCTGAAAAGAATGAAAGACTGATACACGCTACAAAAGAGATGAATCTCAAAAGTATATTATGCTAAGTTAAAATAAGCCAGATGCAAAAGACCATATATTGCAATGACTCCATTCATATGATGTCCTGAAAAGGCGAATTTATAGAGTCAGAAAGTTAATTACAAGTTTCTTTGAGCTGAGGAGTGGGAATGGGGCATGGCTGCTAATGGACACAAGAGATCTTCTGGGGTGATAGAAATGTTCCAAAATGGGACGAAGGTGATAGTTACACAAGCCCGTAATTTTATTTAAAATAGTTGAATTATACACTTAAAACAAGTGGATTTTATGGCTTGTAAATTATATCTCAATAAAGCTGTTGGGAAATAAAAGAAACGTGATATTGTGGCCCCCACCTGCCTTGCCCTTTATTTATTTCTCATTTTCTATACAAGTTATATTGGTTCCACTCAGAGACTCTAAACTCTTGCCCTATTGGCTCTTCAGCTGAAGGCAAATTTCCAGAGGACACTAGCTGAATCCTGCCAGCCTCCAGGCCTCCCAGCAGGTGGGGGAATGAATCCCCAGTCCTGAAGGGGATGGGGATGCATGTGGTTCACTTAGAGCATCACTCTGGCAGGCAAAGTGGTATGATGCACCTTGGTGGCCTCAAGTAGGGCTCCACAGGTTACAGCAAGACCAAGGGCTTTTAGCTAGTGCTGGCAGCTTCAGGGAATAAGCTGCTACAACTCAGTGACTACAGTCAAACTTCCATAGGCAAATGTGTTTCCAGCACATTTGGAAGGAGTCAGGTCTCAAGACTGAGTGAGAAGAGGAGAAAGTCCACAACACAAGGAAAAAGAGAGACTCAGAAGAGGGTGTCAAACCCAATCTTTGTAGATGTTTTACTCCCAACATCTTTTTTTAATTTTTTATTTATTTTTTAAATGTTTTATTTGTTTTTGAGAAAGAGAGAGACAACATGAGTAGGGGAGGGTCAGAGAGAGAGGGAGATACAGAATCTGAAACAGGCTCCAGACTCTGAGCTAGCTGTCAGCACAGAGCCCAACGTGGGGCTCAAACCCACGAACTGTGAGATCATGACCTGAGCCGAAGTCAGATGATTACCCGACTGAGCCACCCAGGTTCCCCAACATCTTTTTTTTTTTTTAACATTTTTCATATTTTTGAGAGAGAGAAACACACACACAGAGCACAAGCAGGAGAGGGACAGAGAGGGAGACACAGAATCCAAAGCAGGTTCCAGGCTCCGAGCTGTCAGCACAGAGTCCAATGTAGGGCTTGAACTCACAAATTGTGAGATCGTGACCTGAGCAGAAGTTGGAGCTGAAGTCAGACAAACAACTGAGCCACCCATGCACCCCACATTTCTCCCAACAACTTAAGAAAACATTCTTTTAAAGTGCATGTGGTGTTTTCACCAGGACCATTCGTTGGACTTCAAAAGACATTTCCATAAATATCTAAGAATGAAAATCATACCACAGTAGTATTAAATTAGAAGTCAATAAAAACAAGATATTTAGAAAATCCCCAGTTTTAGAAATTAAACAACATACTTTGGAACAACTCACGTGTTAAAGAGGAAATCAGAGATAAATTAGAAAATATTTTTCCCTGAATGATGATAAAAGTCTAATCCATCAAAATTGTTGTATGTGGCTAGCACAGTACTTAACAGAGAAATTTACTGCTTTAAGTGAAAAGTCACACATGAAAAAAGGGATAAAATCAATAATACAAGCTTTGACCTTAAGACCTTAAGAACCTTGAGGGGCGCCTGGTTGGCTTAGTCGGTTAAGTGTCCGACTTTAGCTTAGGTCATGATCTCACGGTTCGTGGGTTCGAGCCCCGCGTCGGGCTCTGTGCTGACTGCCAGCTCAGAGCCTGGAGCCTGTTTCAGTCTGTGACTCCCTCTCTCTCTGACCCTCCCCTGCTCACGCTGTCTCTCTCTCTCTCTCCTAGAAATAAATAAAAAACATTAAAAAAAATTTTTTTTAAATTTAAAAAAGACCTTAAGAACCTTGAAAAGCAAGAGTAAATTGAATCCAAGCAAACAAAATGAAGCAAATAAGTAAAATAAGCTGATGAAATAGAAAAGCGACAAATAATAGGGAAATACAACAATAAAGTTTTCTGAAATCCACACAGAAATTTAAGTTTCACATGGATTCTATATGTAAGTGTATATCCAGAACCATAAAGACCTTAGGAGAAGAAATAGGAGGGCATCTATTGAAACTAAAAATCAGAAAGTCATTGCTTCTGGGGTAGATTGTGGGCAGGGTGGAAGGTGGGAATTGACTAGAAAGGGGCAAGAAACAACTTTTTGAGGTGAAGGAAATGTTCTGTAGGTTTTCTTGGGTAGTGGTTATAGCGGTGTACATAACTGTCAAGCTTTATTGAACTCACACTTAAGATCTGGACATTTTCATGCATGTAATGTTTTTAACACCTCAACTTTTTAAAGTAGAGAAAAGGCAATGTGTTGAGGAGCTTATGGTAGGGGTAGTTGGCCACCTCTGAGGCACAGGTTTCAAAAGCAGCCATGGTGTCCTGAGTTTAGGACTCTGCCGAGACTGGTTTTGTGACCAAAATGTGGGATGACGGCTAACGTCCCTAAGATCCACTGTGGCCGCAGCTACAGATCCCTACTCTCATGATCCAGACCACAGAACTGGACAGTTATCACCAGATGGCTACCCTTCCATGGTGATCTTCCTCCATAAACCTCGATCCCTTCAAGGGGAAATCAAACTTGAGGTTCTGGATATGTGGGAGTGGAAAGAAAGTCATTTCCCATAGAACTCAGTGTCTGGTGCTGCCACCAATGCAAATGTCTACACTTTGCACTCTGAGAGAGGAGACAACGGCCTACAGTAGATTTTCTCTCCCTGTGTATTTGCTGCACAAGGCAAAAATGCCCATTGTGCTGGAGATTTCTTCTCTGCATTTAAATCTACAGCTTGTGGATCCCAGACAGCTGGCATGGAGTGCTGAATCTCTTGTTAGAGGGAAGACCAAGCCTTTATCACACTGTGGCCCTGAAGCTTGCTTCCTGTGCCTTGGAAGAATGAGAGCTATGTTAAAGGTCACACAGTTTTTAGGGAGGAGGGACCCTGCAGGAGGCATGAGCAATGGGTATGTGGTAAGAGTTCAAGGTGAAGAGGCTGAGCCAGAAACAAGAGTGCATAAAACTCCAATCCTGCCTTTGGGACATAAGGAGACCAGAACCCAGCCTCTTTCAACTGGCTTCCAACAATCTAACAGGTTAGAGCTTTCTCGTTTTCTTTCAACTATTGCCGGGCACAGAGGTTTTGCAGAAATAAAGTGGAGGGAACAAAATGGTTTTCGTAAACCTGTAACTACTTGACTTCTCTTTTTGACTTTCTCTAGGGTCACGCTGTCCTCTTATCTGCTCCCCAGTTCTTCTGATTCTTGGAGAGTGCTTCTTGGTACCCAGGTTTGACCATGGCTGGGTGGAGCTGCCTTGTCACGGGGGCAGGAGGGTTTCTGGGTCACAGGATCATTCGCTTGTTGTTGGAGGAGAAGGAGCTACAGGAGATCCGGGCACTGGACAAAGTCTTTAGACCAGAATTGCGGGAGGAATTTTCTAGTAAGTAAACTTGAGTTCGAGGGTGAGTAGCTCCATCTTGACCCCTGGGTAGGTATAGGGAGAGGGTAGTTGTCTGGCAAATCGAAGGTGGTTGTAGCCAAATCAAGGCTAATCCCGGGTCCAAAGTCATCAGAAGGGAAATCTGTAGTATATGTAGTATAAGACATATAAGGGTATGGGGAGACTGGGTCTGACCCTGATCCGGAGCTAGAGATGATGACCATAGGTCAGCCACTTTGGCCTCCAGGTCTCTTTTCTTCTCATTTATAAAATCACAGATCAGTTCTCTCCCTTATCAACAACTCTTTGATGTTCTGAAGATTTCAGACTTTGCAACATCTACAAAGGGCAGATTATCTTGGTCTTTCTCTGGCTTCATTTAGCATCTCCAGTGAAGGTGAAGTAAAAGTAAGTGAAGGTGAAGCTGAGTGTGTGTGTGTGTCTGTGTGTCTGTATGAGACAGACAGACAGACAGACAGTCAGACAGAGAGGGAGAGACGTGGGGAGGATACACAGCATAGAGTGAGGGAGCCAGAGACAGACTGCCAGGCTCCAGAGTGCGGACTCCCTGTATATCTCTTTCTACCATTTGTCTCTCCTCATCATCACGAGAAAAGGGGCTGCAGAATTTGCTAGAGTACTCGCTGCTCTGCTCTTTTCCCAGACTGCTGCCCCTGGTGCGGATGCAAAAGCTAGGTGTATAAGACCTGTTTCACCCCACCCCCACCCCCAGATCCTCAAAACATCCCTGTGAGGAAGGTAGGAAAGGGGTGTCACCCAACAAGACGATGAGGAAATTAAGGTGCACAAACGCAGAGAGACTTGCCAAGGCCCTCTGATTAATGAATGGCAGCGCTCAGGGTAGGGCCTCATTGCAGAGGCCCCAGGCCTATGGCTCCGGGGCTGCCTCTGGGCAAAGTGGGAGTTTGATCTCTCCCATTTCCCCACTGTGTGCGCCCAAACCAATTCCCTGTCCCCCTCCCCAGCCCCTGCGGACTGGGTGTCAAAATGCAGCCCCGCTGCCCAGAAGACTCCCCACACAGAGACCCTGTCCCCCTCCCCGCCCTCCCAGACCGTGCGTGTCACTCTCCTGTCTCTGCTGTGCTCTGAATGTCTCAAATGTCCTATTTCCTCTACCCTCGGTTTCGACGGCGTGTCTAATGCACACACATAAACATACATGGTCAACGTCGACCGTCTGTGACCTTCATGTCTCAGCAATATTTACAGTCTGACAGCTGATGCCCCAAGCAGGCAAAGCGGGTTTCCAGTGTGACAAGGCAGGTGGCATCAGGGACAGCCGGGGGCCTCCGTGCAGATCCCGGTGCAGAAGCCCTACAGCGGTTTTTCCATGCCAGGCATTGTGCTCAGGCTTCTACATGCCTCCACTTGCTTGCTCCTCATTGAGCTTCCGACTCTGGCTTCAACTCAGGTCATGATCCCACGGTTTCATGGGTTTGAGGCTCCACACTGTACTCTGTGCTGCCAGCACGGAGCCTGTTTGGGACTGTCTCTCACCCCCTCTCTCTTTGCTCCTCCCCACTCACTCTGTCTCTCTCAGAATCAATAAATAAGCTTTTAAAAAAATGAGAAAGTAGGCACAGAAAGGCATCTGTGTGTGTCAAGGCAGCAATAATATACCACAATATACCACAGGCTGGGTGGTTTAAACCCATCAGAAAACCCCCAGTTCTGGGGCTAGAAGTCCAAGAGCAAAGCAAGGTCATGTTCTGGTGGGCGCTCTCTTCCTGGCTCATAGTCTGTCTCATCTTGCCGCATTATCACATGGTTCAAAGGGTGAGGGCTCTCTCTGGGATCTCTTTTATAGGGATATTGATCCCGTTCATGCGAGTTAAACCCTCATGACCTGATCGCCTTCCAAAGACCCCATCTCCTAACAGCAACACAGTGACATTAATGTTATCAACACATGAATGTAGGAGACATAAACATTCAGACCACAGCAAAGGCTAAGGTGTTCAAGGTCCCACAGCTGAAAAACGGCAATGCTGAAACGGAACCCAGGAGGTCTAGCTGGAGCGACTGTGCTTTTAACCGCTAGTTTGTCTAGTAGCTTCTCTTTGGGCCTCTCTACAACCCAGACCACACCGCGTAAGCAAATGTCTATTCAGGCTACGCAAAATATTTCTCAAGTTCACAGAGCCTCAGAGGGGGCGGAGCTGTGCCGCTACCACCCGCACAGCGGCAGCGCCCTCTGCTGGTCTCTCCGCGCCCCACCAAGCTATAGGGTAATGCCCTTTCCTCTCCTGGCTTTGGGCTTCTGCTCCCTCAGCATATCAGTTCCTCCAAGCCAGTTGGCTGAAGTCAGCAGCAAAGAGGAGGCAGAGGAAAGGAGGGGGAAAGGCAGAGGTGAGGGCACAAAATTCCTACTGATCGCCAGCAGCTTTTCCTCTGCCTTTCTTCCACTTCCGGGCACCTTGGAGTTGCCTGAAAAGGGGCTTGGGGCGGGGGCGCAGGGGAGGGGGGGGTGGGGGGGGAGAAGGAGGTGGGACGGGTGCAGAGCAAATTTGGCAGAGGCTTAAGCAGAGCAGATGGTTTTTCCAAGTTGTTACCCAGGAAGGAAATTTCTCAGCCCCGAATTTCTCACTCTGGATTTCTCTCGCTGTTCTCTGGTCTCCATTGCCAATTTCAGTTAAATTGCCTTATCCTTTAAATACGTACGTACATACATACATACATACATACATACATACATACATACATAGACTTATCCTTAATCTGCCTCAGAAAAGAAACGTGCGAATCCTGCCCGTGGGTGACAGGGGAAAGACAGCAAAGCTCGAAGGCAGGGGGCAGGCTTGAGTCTTCACTACCTAGACCTGCCCCTTAACCTGTCTCAGCCTCAGTTTCCCTGCCTGTATAGTGGACATCAGAATACCTATGTCATGAGAGAGCTGGTAAGGAAAAGATCAGACAACTGTGCAAGCTGTGTACAAAGGAGAAAACACAAAGTAAGTGTAGGGAATTTCCCTAAACTGTATGTAGCGCCATGTTTATTCCATGGGCTAGGTGAGGTGATGATGTTACTGGTAATGCCACCTCCCGTGGATTTCAGAGGATCTGGGGACCTGGAGGTTGTATCCACTGCCCTTGGCTCAATGGTCGGAATCCTAGTCCCTTGAGGCTGACTCATTTTCAGCAACAACATCTGCTTTAGATGGTATCAGACAAGGCACTCCTTCCTGTCAGTGGCTCCACTATCCTTCTGGTCAACCAAAGCAGGAAATACTCAGGCTAACATTGACTCTACCAAAACCTCTTCCTCTTAACCTATCTCCAGTAAGAACCAGGACCCGTCTAGGTAAGGTCTGGGAAGTCAAGCCTGCGTATCTTTCCCTGTCTCTACTCCCTCTGAGGGAGCCCTGGTTCTGGTCCATCTCATCTGAAGTTTGGTGCACACATTCTGATTAATCTCTCGACTGGCCTGTTCTCTTTTAGATGCACCACATCCATCCATGTTATATACGGCAGCCGGGGTTACCTTCCTGCACCACAATTCTGTTTGTTTCTCTTCTTGTTCCAAGCCCATAGGTGATTCCTTATTCCCTACAGAGTTAAATTCAAATTCTCTCCTCATAAGAGGCGGAGTGGATGTAAATCCATTCTCAATAATCACCCTATTCCCACTTAATAAATTTTATGAATCTCTTTAATAATTTTTCTCCCAGGCACACTTGCACACTTGACCCCTCGCTGATCAAATGATTTTTTTTTTTTTTTTACTAAAATGGGGTGGAAACAGACTTTGCTCTTTCCCAATAAATGCTACACATCCTGATTCCCTTGCCTTTTTTTACTTGTTCCTTCCGTGGATTTGCCCCTATCCCCACCCTGCCTTCACTGTCCCTGTCCTTGAAGGCCTGGGTAAATACCACCTTTATCAGGAAATTTTCAGATCCAGAAAACCTTCCAATGACCTGACTCATGTCCACGCAGAGCTCCAGAGCAAGATCAAGCTGACCATGCTGGAAGGAGACATTCTGGATGAGCAGTGCCTGAAGAGAGCCTGCCAGGGCACCTCAGTTGTCATTCACACCGCCTCTGTCATTGACATCATCGGTGTCATTAACCGAGAAACCATCATGAATGTCAACCTGAAGGGTACAGTACCCCAGGGGGATGTGGGATGAGGTGGGCAAATGAGACTCATAAAACAGAAGAGGAAGGGAGGAGAAGCCCCCATCCCTGAGCACCTGCTAATCCTGTGCCAGCTGCTTTTTCTCATTACCGCTGAGAGATGCGAGGCTGGTATCCCCAGTCTTCTAGAGGAGGAAGTTCAGGCTGAGAAGGGCTGAGTAACTCGTCACGTCCCCCTGAGTTGGAGAGCTAGAATCTAAACCACACCTGGGCATCTCCAAAGGCCACAAAAGCTCTTTTCACCGCAGCTCTAATCAAGCATTGGCTCTGTTCCAACCTTCAACTCATGCTATCCAACCACATCCTGCCCCCCCTGGGCTAGAATCAGACCTTACCAGTGCCGCCTTTCTGTGTGCCTCTAAGCTGGTGGTCATCCAGTAAGGCCGAGAACTAAGAGCTCTGTGATATGAAGCCCCCCCCCAACATGTCCATTATGAGCGATGGGCCATAGCTCTGGGCCAGTTTCCTTCCGGCGGGACTCCTGTGCGGGATGGCCAAGCGTAATGAGAATATCTAGCACCGTCTTGCTCACCACTCAAGAGACCTAACAAAGCAAATTCACAGCAGTCTGGCAGGACAGAATTACCCAGCACTGTCTTAACGGGAACAGCTTCCTCTTATCCATAATGGTACTTCTTCAGCTCACGGCTGGGTGTCCTGTTGAAGAGTAGTTTCTAGCCAGGTCCCCAAAGTACACCTTCCTCAGATTCCCCATCCCCTAAATGCCTGGCTGGTAGCTCTTTCTGAATTGTGGCTTTCCAATCTACTTTAAATCTAGACACACTTATTTAAGGGATTAGCTTAAATCCCTTATTAGCCTGGCATGTAATATTATCCTTCTGACCCCGGAAGCAGTCTCTCTAGGGCCACAGCACCCCAATCCTCAGTCCTATCTGGCCTCCATGCCCTGCTCTACAAAGTTAGGCGTTAGTCTATTCAGAGGCTCTTTTTTCTAAAGCAACCCATTGCTGTAGAGTAGCACAATCTCAAAAAAGACCCTTTCTCTTCTACTTAGCCACAGCCTCACCACTCCCACACTGCAAAGAGGGTGCTAGATTAACCAACTTGCTCTTTTTAGCCCTTCTCTCCTAACTCCTGCTCCCCAGGGCTTCCAACAAGAGTGGTTTGAAATCCCCGAGAAGTGTTAGAGATATCAGTGGATTAAAACCAATGTCATTTCCAAGTTTAGAAAATACTTCACAGGAATGGTCATTTCACTCTCTACAGATAAATTTGCCCCCAATTTTCTCAGCCTCTAGAGTTGATTTTTGTAATGAGGCTGTGTCTCTAGAAAATTAAACTGCACTAAGGCCTTAAAAAGGATTTTTTTTATATCAAAAAAAGTGAAAAATCAAAACAATGCTTTGCCAGGAAAAATTCCTTCCTTATGGGGATGGTGCTCCGCATCACCTCCCCCAGCCAAAGGGATTTTGCAAGATCCACACGTTATAGGTACTAACCACCAGAGGGCACACTCCTCTTTCCGGTTCTCCACTAGGCTGACCAGAGAAAGCCTGTGCCGCCTCAGGAATGCTAAGTAAAAGGAAGGTTTATCACGTCCACTTTTCAGACCTGGGTAAAATTAGGAGTGGCCTTTGGAAGGAGCACTCAGTCAAGGTTAGGTAAAATTCTAGTCCATATTCTGAGAGTATGGCCTCCTAATAATATTATATTTAAAATAACCTGGTTTTAATGGGGTGGGAGGGATGAGTGACAATTTTTGTAATGTCTTTATGCAGCAAAATATAAAATGGCAACCTTCTGTCCTTTTCCAAAATTAAAAAAGTATACACATAGGTCCAGGAAATCCAAAAGCCTAGAAATTCTTGCTGTCCAGAACCCAAATGTTGTTTGCTTCTGTTTTCTTCATTTTTGCATTTTATCTATGGCTGTAGCATGGTCAGATCTTCACCAGAGACACAGAGGAATGCACTTCTGATCTACCACCACTACCTCACTTGTGGGTTAAGGGGTGGACACGGTCTGTGGGCACAGCCGGCCCTTTGGGTTAGTTGTTGACACTGACTGAGTGTTCCCCATGGGCAGGTACCCAGCTCCTTTTGGAAGCCTGTGCCCAGGCTAGTGTGCCGATCTTCATCTATACCAGCACCATGGAGGTGGCCGGGCCCAACTCCTACAGTGAGATCATCCAGAATGGCCACGAAGACGAGCATCTCGAATCCAGATGGACCACTTCATATCCATACAGCAAAAAGCTTGCAGAGAAGGCTGTGCTGGCTGCTAATGGGTGGGCTCTTAAAAATGGTGGCACCTTGCACACTTGTGCCTTAAGGCCCATGTATATCTATGGGGAAGGAAGTGTATTCCTTTATGGCCACGTATACAAGGCCCTGAAGAACAACGGCATCCTGAAACAGAGCAGCAAGTTCTCCGTAGCCAACCCGGTCTACGTTGGCAATGTGGCCTGGGCTCACATTCTGGCCTTGAGGGCCCTCCAGGACCCCAAGAAGGCCTCCAGCATTGGAGGGCAGTTCTATTATATCTCGGATGACACGCCTCATCAAAGCTACGATAACCTCAATTACAATCTTAGCAAAGAATGGGGCTTGGCCCTTGAATCCAGAATGAGCCTTCCTCTATGTCTGAAGTACTGGCTTGCCTTCTTGCTGGAAATAGTGAGCTTCCTGCTCAGTCCAATTTACAAATACGAACCCCCCTTCAACCGCCACATAGTGACGTTGTTAAATAGTGTGTTCACCTTCTCCTATAAGAAAGCTCAGCGGGATCTAGGGTATGAGCCACTCTTCAGCTGGGAGGAAGCCAAACAGAAAACCGCGGAGTGGATTGGGTCCATAGTGAAAGAGTATAAGGAGACCCTAAAAACAAAGACTCACTGATTTGGGGGTGCCAGGGATGGAGATGTAGGTGTTATTGGGAGATGTCTATCAGGTTCTCCCCCTCTGGCTTCACACAGAAAGAAACAAGGGCACAAGCCCAGGGCCTACTGCCTCTCGTTTACATGATGCTCACCTTCCTTTACAAGATGGTAAAGTCCCCGGCCCAACCAGAAGTTTCTGTCCTACTCACACTGCAGAGGACAGACCAGATCTACCATAGCTGCTGGTACTCAAGTCTCCACTGCCGACTCTGAGCTATTCTGGCCTCTTTAACTGAAGAGCTTTCCCTACCAGTTTCATTTCCTTTGTCCTGTGTGAGACATTTCTTACCTTTTAAAAATTCTTATTCCTACACACTGCCCAATGAAAAGAGTAATAAATGCTTTAATGCCTAATCTGGGGGACGCTGTGGTTGACATGAACACACACCTTCCTCCTTTCCCTTCTGTTTCCGGGTATCATCACCTCCTATTTAGAAAAGTAGCATGGAACTGAGGTGGGCAAAAGTTTTCGGAAAGGGGGCAATTAAGATCGACAAAGCACCTACTATGTTTCAGACGTATATCAATGCACTAATCCTTCTCCGGAAACCTATGGGGTAGGGATTAGTACTTCTTTTTATTGATAAGGAAACCTGATCATCATTACCACCAACTGCTAAGTGACCAATCCATTTAACCCAGATAGACTCATTTGAAAGCCCCTGTCCACCGACTCATGCAGCCTGAACTGCCTAAAATTACAGCCAAACGGGGGTGGGGTGGAGGGGTTTGTCAGCGGTGCCACGGAGGCCTGGAGTGTGTGCTGCACTCCTCCTTGGGAGAGCCCGGCCCCTCTGGGTCGCCTCCTTCTTGCCCAGCTCTGTGCAGGAGACTCCCTAGGACCCAGGAGAACCCTTGAGGGGTATCTGGGAGGGTTCACAAGCCCTTGCCAGATGGCCTGAGCAGGGAAAGGGGAAGCTGAGACGCAGCCAGCCTCTGCTGCCAATGCCAGTTTCCTTGGAGGCCCCCCCGGATGCACGAGGGCCACCCTGGCAATTCATAGCCACTCTCTAACCTTTCAAATCGTGCAATGAAATCACACCACGGGTTCTAGGAAAGTAAAGGGAACAGGTATAAACTCTCCTAAAACTGTATCTCCTACCCAGCCCAAGAGGTAGAGGTCTACTGCCCCACACATCCAGATTTAACTCCCCCCCCCCCTCCTTTCTCCCTCTCCCTGTCTCTCCCTCACACTGCCTGCTGGGAAGGAGGCTTATACCTCTGTGTCCTTGGTCTCTCTCCTTTCTCCCCATCTGCCCTGGCCCATGCAGCCTTCTTCCTCAGCAGCGGAGGTCACTCAAGGCAGGCTTGGGGACTTGAATGACGACACAGTCATGAACTAAACAGAGGACCAAGAGTCAAAAGAAGCACTGTCAGGGCCAGCGAGGACCATACTACCTGGGACAGGTGAGGAGGTGACCATGGGGCTTGGAGTCGGGGTGGGGAGAGCTGCCTCTCTCCAGACCCAGCTGTTGCTTGTCTTTATGAGCCAGAGTCACACCCAACACCCAGTGACTCCTTTCTTACGTAGAGAATGTACAGATTATGATTGCAGTTGACCTTGATTACCACAAGGAAGACAGTCTATGCCTTCATTCTAAGGACAGAGGGGGAAAAAAATCTGGCCCGGATGCAGGTTCCTAGTGCCTTCAAAACCCCAAGGGCAAAGGATCAGCATGAGGCTGAGTGGAGAGGCGGCGGGGTTAGGTGAGAAATGGAACATTCTGTCCTGCCTTGCTGCACTGCCCACAACACAAGAGACAGCACCCCTGCAAGCTCTTGTAAGGTGCACACCTTTATGTGTATGTCCCCAGGCGAGGCAGGGAAAGGATGGTTGGCTCTGGGACAAGGGCCCTCAGGTGTGTTTTTAGCCTAGTGAAATCCCACATCTATGAACCCAGCAGGGCAATTCTCACAGAGAAGGGAAGGGGCATCGTGGCTATAGGGCCAGAGGGCCTCCATGTGAGCAGAGGCAGCGGAGACGGGCTCTGACCAGCTGGTGGTCCCAGCTGAGTAAGCATAAAAGCCTTCGAATGTCTGGGCCCGTGAAGTTGGCCATTCTTATACTGGGCACAGAGCTGAGGGCTCTGGGCCTTTTGAGTTAATGCATAAGAGCTCTCTCTCCTCTCTGTCTCCCTCCCTCCGCCTCCCTCCTCTCTGTTCTCTCTCCACTCGCTCCTCTCCTCTTCCCTTGCCTGCTCCCACCCCCGCTGGGTGCAGCACAGAGTCGGGTGAATGAGTGAAGGAAGGTGCAGGTACACATTTAGCCACCAGGTTAAGTGCTAAGTGTGAGTCCAGGGACCAGAGCTCATCTCAACTTTTGGTGAACCCCCCCACACACAGCAGAGGGGCCTCAGCTAGGCCTTGAAGGATAAAGGGGACTTGGGTAGGAGAATGAGGTGGTCCAGGCAGGGGAGGAGCTTGAGCAGTGGTGCTAAGGAAGGGTGGAGGTGGGGAGTTGAGGAGGGTGAAGAGGAGCGAGGAAGGCTGGGCTGCCACGTGGAGAAGGGTTCTCCCCAGGGAGATTAGATAGCTTACGGTGTCAGATGGGACAGTGAACTTCATAAGGCTGGCCTCGGGGTGAGGTTGAGTGAGCAGGTGGGTGAATGGCCCAGCGGAGGGCCAGCAGGAAGGTGGCAGGGGTGAGAGGGGGTGAGCTGGACAAGAAGGCCAGCTGGACCAGCTGCTTTAGAAGTGTGGACATTCTGTGTTTCACCCCAAGTCTAAAATTCTCAATTATTTTATTAACAAACAGACCAAGACCAATAACAAAAACCAACCTCGTGGCTTCTCCTCTCAGTAGTAAGTGCAAACACCCAAGAAAGAGCTGAAGACTGGGACCAGGGCAGGGCAGCTCTGGGGTTAGGATGGGGCTTCACATCCCTGACGTCTCAACTGCTCCAGGCAGCCCACCCTCCCCCCACCCCCAGAAATGGATGAAGCTATTAGAGGGGGTCATCAGAAACACATGGCTGTCAGGGCTCCTGGGTAGCTCAGTTGGTTAAGCGTCTGACTCTTGATTTCAGCTCAGGTCATGATCTCACTGTTCGTGGGGTAGAGCCCCACGGCGGGCTCTGTGCTGAGAGTGCAGAACATGCTTGAGATTCTCTCTCACTCTCTCTCTGCCCTTACCTCTATTCTCTCTCTCTCTCTCTCAAAATAAATTTTTAAAAATTGGGTCACCTGGATGGCTCTGTTGTCTGCACTTCCAGCTCTTGATTTCGGCTCAGGTCATGATCTCACAGTTCATGGGATCTAGTCCCACCTTGGGCTCTGCTCTGACAGCATGGAGCTTGCTTGGGATTTTTCTCTCTCCCTCTCTCTCTCTGCCCCCCTCCTCTGCTTCTGCCCTCTCTCTTTCTCTCAAAATAAATAAATACACTTTAAAAATGATGAAAAAAAAAGACATGATTGCCGATTGGACCCCGAAGCTGGACCAGGGCACTCGGAGGCTCCTCACCCTCTCTCCTGTCTCTTGGAATATGGGCTCTGCTTGTTTTCCCTACTCCCAGAGGCTGCTCCAAGGACATGACCTTGAATAATGATGTGGTGTTGAGAACACCTGCACAGTATACGTGACTGAACCCAGCGAAGCCTTCTTTATAAATCTTTAAGATCTGGCAGGCGGATGCAGAGATCCATTTGTCTTGGGGCCGCCCAAGGCAGGCCTTATAAGTAAGTTCCCTTTACTTATTACGACTGCCCCCTACCAACCTGGGCTGCCTCTTTCTTAGGTCTCTCCCTGTCCTCTGAGGGTAGGAACCAGATCCAGATTACACCCGGGAAGCTTCCATGAGCATGTAAGGCAAGTACGTATCTTACTTCATGTAAATATCCATGCTTTTTTTTTTCCCAAAGAGATTTCAGTGGGAAATCTCCTTCACTCATTCATTCATTCATTCATGTTCATGTACAAAGTGCTGGCCCAGAGCCTCTTGGGAGGGGGTATGTAATTATGATATTACTTTATTACCTTATTAACACCTAAAAGAGGGGCACCTGGATAGCATAGTTGGTTGAGCCTTCAACTTCAGCTCAGGTCGTGATCTCACGGTTTGTGAGTTTGAGCCCCTCCTCAGGCTTTGTGCTGACAGCTCCGAGCCTGGAGCCTGCTTCAGATTCTGTGTCTCCCTCTCTCTCTGCCCCTCCCCCACTTGTGCTCTGTCTCTCTCTCTTCCAAAAATAAAATTAAGACACTAAAAAAAGTTTTAAAAATCTAAAAGAAAGATGAATTTCAACACACATGTAGCCCCTAGGATTTTGGACCAAAGATCGTGGACTGCTAGCAGCAGAATCAGGTGCCAGGGATTGCTTTACACATTTTCTATAATAATCCTCAAACAATACTCAAAGCAAGCACTCCTGTTATCCTAATTTGACATATGAGGAAATGGAAGCACAGAGAGATACATAATTTGATGGAGGTCATCCAGCTCGCTGGTGATTCAGTTCCAGTAATTTAAAAAAAGCGTTTTGACTTCTAGGGGTCTACATGAGGATATCAGACCCCCATGCCTGCAGGAGCCAGTCACCCACATTATAAGTAAGGCAGGCTGGAGCTGAGAGACCCCAGGGATTTTGGGGAGGGGGGCAGTGTGGTGTGCAGGAGGCCACACTCTGCTTCGGGGAGCCAGCAGCTGATTCGGGTTTGGGATGCATCCCAAGTTCCCAGATCTTCTTTGAGGAAAGCAAACCTTCCCAATCTTTACATGAACTCTCTTGATTTCTAAATATTGGCACCCAATTCTAAATTTTGCCAACAGTGTGAAGACCAGCTCCGGGAATGTGTGGGCTAGTGCCGAAATTGTATGCGTTATATTTTAGTGCTTAAAAAGTGGGCAGCGAGTGTTACAGGCAATCTGTTCATTCTTGGTGATCGGTCCTGAGTATACGTTACAGCGTATTCTGTACTTTTCTGTATGTTTGATATTGGTTGTGATTCTTGGACCGAAGGAATTATGAATTTTAAAAAAGAATGAAAACTAATGAAACGCATCTCTGGGCTAGATCCACAACTGAGGCTCCCAGTGTGTTTCATCTCTGTTCCCAGGCTGGTGGGGGCAGTAAAATATGAGACATGGTAGGTACTGTGCACAGTGAAATGTACAAAGGCCATTAGAAAGGTAATGTGCCTTGGGAGGATCCCATCTGGGCAGGGGACTCAATAAAGCACTTGCATTTGGGCTGAATACTGAAAGATGGTGGGAATCTAACAGGCAGAAATGGGGGAGGGATGTACCCCAGGCAGGGATGTATCCCAGGGAGTCTGCCAAGACACAGAGGTGGGAAAAGGGAGCCATTTTCAGACAATGATGAGACCACGGTGGACAGACCAGACAGGTGCAGGGGAGAAT